ACAGTCTTGTTTCTCGGATACCTCTATGCGAATCGCAAATCGGGCTTTGACGGGGTCTTCCGAGTGGTTCCTGCCTATCGCTAACTGTGAGTGGCGCGCCTCGTAATCATAGTAGGCGATAAATCATTGCCTTCTTGAGGAAAGATCGCGGGCGAGACCAATGCGTGGATATCTTTGAGTCCAATTGAATGATTCGGTTCAAACCGTGGTAGAAAGGCCGGGATATCCAAGTGGGTGTACGGCATTGACAACTTGTACATGGACTGCACATCACGGAATTTGAAGAAAAAATTGGGAACGTAGTCCCCGGAGCCTGGTTCCTTGCACTTTGATTCAGTAGGAAAACACGCATGTCTAGTAAACACTCACTCGAGGAAACAAAAAGGACTCTATAGGTCCGCATTCTCTCTCGATCGCCCTAAGGATGTGCAAGGCGTGACCCATGTTGCCGATACCGGTATGAGTCTGCACCGTGAGAAGCTTATTGTGAGCCTTGTGTGGGGGCTCTTCCTTGGAGCTGGTAGCAGCAGACGTTGGAGTGCATGATACAGTGCTACTAGAGATGGGTCGTCTCGAGCTGCCCAAGTTCAACAACTTCCGTGGGCGGATTCGTACGCTAGCGAGGACCATTCAAATACAAATCTTCAGAGCCGAACAGTCGTCTGTCAAACAAGTCGGTTGGTGCTCGTCGACGTCGGGGGAAGGATTGAAGTTTCATTTGAATTATGCTGATGTCAGCCAAAAAGTCCAAAGGAAAAATGTCACGAAGCACCACGATACAACCATCCAAGCATACATGGACATTACATAAATAACAAAGTTCACACACTGTCAATGTTACAGTTGTCCGAGTCCGAAGCGATATCACTCGTAAACTATGAGAAGAAACAGTGCAGGCTACGGTTTCAACGGCCCCTGCTCGCGTAGCTCGGTAAAGTCTCTCCGATTTCGGATGCGTCCACCCGGCCAGCATCTTGGTGAACCAGTACGCCAGAGCCGAGAGGACGCATAGGAAATACTTCGGGATCGGGGCGAGGACCGTGGTAGGAAGAAGGGGGGTAGGCGAGCGGATCTGAAGGTCGGGATCGCGCTTCCCGTGCCTTTGCCAATGCCGCAGGATGCGTTCTAAAGCTACCGCTAGCATCAGAGCGCCCATCGCCAAATGGATCAGTGGGATCGTAAAGAAGGCCAGTCGTAGACGAGGCACGGTAATGAGTCGACTCGCGTGGGGATGTGGTCGTTGAACTCTCGGCATCGTGGTGACTGCCACGCATATGCTGAGCCAAAAGGGGGTCGTTTTCGCTAACCACACTCTGGGAGTGGGTATGCGAGTGGTGCGTGGTAGTCCCGGGCAGATCCTCGTGGAAAATGCTGCCACTGGCATTTGAATTGGCACGCGCACCCACGACACCATAGGCGTAGGGAGCTGGTCCCGGTGGTTCCGCCAGGTCAAAGTCGTCTGCGTCCAGGATTTGGCGAGGAGCCTGGAGGCGGGGATTGTTCAGCGCAGCCGCAACCTTGCGCCTTCGTCTGCTGATGTAAAATAAACCAACTAGGACACCGAGTAGGGCCAAGGTTCCGCCAACGACGCCTCCGACTATGTTTGTCGTCCGTGCCGAGAGTCCCGACGATCCGTTGGGTGACGTTGCAAGGGTAGGGACGACAGTGGTGAACTAGTGTACAGGGTTTAGACCACCGGTGCTATAACAGTATGAGGCTATTGAAACTCACCGTTGTAGGTACACCATTGATACTAGATACCACAGTAACGACAACACTCGTTAGACTCGACGTCGCGCCAGCTTCAGAACTGGGACTCGGGGGTTGAGTTGTTGTGGCGGTAACAGGATTACGTGTGCTCCCGGGTGTGGTCGTCGAAGATGGGGCATTTGAGCTACCTGTAGTTTCTGTGGGAGTTGGTAACAAACTCTGACTGGTAGAAGGTGAAGGAGACGGCGTAGGAGACGGCGTAGGCGTGGGGGTCGGAGTATCGGATACCGATGAAGCGGTGCTAGTAGGCACAGAGGAAGAAGAGACATCTGAAATAGTTTGGTGCGGACATGAAGGGCGTAATGACAATGAAATAACACGGGCGCCGATTGCTCACCTTGCGATGTGGCGCTATCCGTAGCGGACTGCGTAGGGGTCGTTACGCTGTCGGATGGGGTTTGGGTTGGCGAGGCAACGGTTTCAGATGTCTGAGACTGTTGTGAGGATGTTTGTGAGTCTGGCGTTGACGTTGGTTGATCGCTCGTTGAGGTGAGGGGAGCAGATGTGCTATCTGGAGGCGAAGTGGTGGTCTCCCTACAAATGACATATCTATTCATATCCTCGATAAAGCACAAAGAGCTACTCACCGAGCCGAGGTTGTCGTTATATCATCAGTTGTACTCTGCGGGCGGGAACTAGTAGGCTGTTCTGTAGACGAAGCAGTGGGCCGCGTCTGAGAGGCCGCGGTTGTGCGAGTCGGGGTCGTGCGCGTCTCAGCGGACGGGCTACTCTCAGGAACTCGAGTACTAGTTTCTTGTGGTGCCTCGCTTGTGCTGGAGCCTTGTCTTGGGACAATCACATACTGGAAAATAATTTTCAATCGCAGCTTCGTGGCCGAGCAGTGTGCGAAATGAAAGGCCCAGCAAATCAAAAGAAATAGCTCACCATCGTGCGTGTTAGACCCGATTGAGAAAATCCCTACATGCCCAGTTGGTACGATAGGTATATTACCATCTATGGCAGATCACTCACAGTCTAATCCAAGAAAACGTGCCACGGATCCGTAATTCGCGTCAATACCGGTGGCGCAAGCTCGGTTCGGAATCCAACACGAGCCTGCAGGCAATCGCACAGGGGCCGAAGTGGTGAGAAAACCGCAAAGGCAAAATGCCGAGCTGCGGGTGGTGACCGTTACATCACTGCTGTGCCGGACTCCACGTGACCGAACAGCCTCCTCCCAGCAATTTTATTGACGCATACAATTGCAAAGAACGTTGTTTCCTGTTCTAACTTTTTTGCTGGAACTTTTGTTATTCAAATGGCGACTAGTCTCAAAAGTAAGAAATATTTGCATATATATTTGCGAACTATACATTTTTGCTGCTAGCGAGTGACACCGGACCCGGAAGCTAACATGTATGGGTGGTGCGCAGCAAGTAGAATGATTTGCAAGTTCAGCGCCCGTGCTGAGCTGCAACCGAATACGAAGAGGAACGGGTATTCGAGATAGGAGGTACGGGCCATACAGTCTCTGTCACTTGTCCGAACCATTGTTCATCCATTTCGGCTCCAGACAAAAATGTTTGAAATAGCCACACCATACCGGCGGAATCTGGTTCTTGGCTTGTCAATGGCCTGTGGGAAGTTGTCAATCGGTGGCTGGGATGACTTGATCAAGGATAGGCGAATTGTGTTCTCTCACGTTTGGCGTGATAAATGACCGCAATCCTGCGCAGGTTTGGACCGGAATGTCTTTGTTTGGGCCGAGCCCGGTGATACTGCCGCTGGTGTTCCGCGATGAAAATGGATTTGAATTCAGGAATGCAAAGCATAAATCCCCTTTGTGAGTGGAATAATTTGCTCTGTGGAAAAGTGCCACTATTCTAGGATGGTAAGCGGGGTTAAGCTTTCATTCAATGAAAGAGACGCATTAGCACTTGGTACACGTAATCCGTCATCAGTCTGCCTGACAGGCCCGCTCCCGCATACTCGGAGCCGAATAATCCTCTTTGCTCTCTGCGACGACTCCTTCTGGCTCTTGCCAGCTCTCCCGATCATAGCGTACTGAGGAAACCTACTAGTATATGCGTGCCATGTCCACAAAATCACACGCAATCCCACAGCTTGGATTGTCATCCTCGCCAAAGTCTATGAACTTGGACCCCCGAGTGGTAAGACGGAAAACCCTTAAATAGGTCGACTGGCACTCACCGCGATTGCTGCCGCCCCTCCCCCGCCGTGTCGTGTTCCCTTAGACTTTGGAAGACTTTGAGACGATGAAAGACTACCGCCGTATGCTCTACCGGCTTGATCTCGCCACGTCATTTCGGTCGACCGATGCTTTACTTCATCACTTTATGAACGAAACCACCCTCGACGGATTCATCGAAATCCGGGTGCACAGCGTATACCCGAGTCCAGACACTCCGGCCAGCGTCTCCCCCACTCCCAGTGCCCGGCTCTCCTTCTTTAGAGACCCTCCGACGGGTGAAGTCTTTGCGGACAAGCTCTTCGAACCGGCCCGTGATACGTCGGAGAAGAGTGGATACTCGCTCTACCGCCAGAGATATAGAGTCGCCCAGAGGTACCCCCCGGGCACGTTGTTGTCTCAAGCTTTCAACCCGATCATTCAGCCCCTGCTCAAGGGTATGCCTCCCGCTCTGCGCTCCGAGCTCTCACTAACATTCGCCTGACTTCTCCCATGGAGGCAACCGCTCGACGCTCATATTCGAGTACCGCGCATTCCTGCTTCCGCCAACCCTAACCTCGGATCTGTTGGACGAGTGCGAGGTTGTGAGCCGTCAAGCGCCTCACAAGTTGATGGTGGGCTACGTCGGGCGATCTGAAAGGGGGGCACTGTCCGCCTATCAGCTCGACGACAATATCGCCCGTACGACCTTTCTCGACATGAATCCAATGGCGTTCCATGTCAGCCCTGCGAGCGGTGATTTGGGCCGCGAGTGCGTGATTGCGTAAAGGACGTTGTGGCACCGACACATGGTGAGCGCCCAATCTCAATATGACTATAGCGGGCTAATCAGACTCTACAGTATCCCTTTGTTTTTACTTTAACCCCAAGAACATATATTTCTCAGCTTTGCAACATGTTCTCCTCATGCTATATTATTCTGCAATCTGTAGCGGCAATGTAAGCTTTCGTGGCACCGGGCTCTAGTTTTGTTGTTGTTTGAGTTGATTGTGTTATGCCTGGAGCCAGTAATGGTGTAGTTCTATGCTCGTCATCTGATATGTTGTGCGCTGCGTCTTGGTACTCTTGAAATGCAAAAAATTGTCCCCACCGTGAATCGAACACGGGCTGCTTCGGATTTGGTTACAAATTCCACAACGAAGCGTCATAACCACTAGACCATAGGAACATCTTTGAGGAAAGGGTACGACGCTTTGTTGAGCCTTCTCCAGTATCTTATAATCTATGTAATTGCCCTTTTTTCTTTTTTCTTTTGCGAACTCAACGAGGTGACATTCACAGACATAATGCAGGCCTCTGACTCTACCCTCGACCCCCGGGCTAGAACAAGGCGATAACCTTTTTTGATCGAGGATAAGATAAACTCGATCAGCGCACTAGAAGGGAATGTCACGCTGCGATCTGCATCCATGACCGGCCCACCACTCCACCCATGGGCGTGCAGGGCATAGTGCCATTTCTGTTGAAAAAATGGTACCGTTCTCAAGCACATCTCCAAGATCCAACTAACCCTGCATGCAGCCCCCAGATCATTGAGAGTATTCCAAATAGATTCCATGCGCTGGAAGGGAAGACGATTGCACTGTGAGTCCTCTAATGCATAGCACCGATATTCGAATTAAATCATCGTTGCTTTGAAGAGATGGCACTCTTGTTACCCAGCGTCTGCACTTTACCCCCGACCCTCGACCACACCGACATATCCTTGGATGGTACCAACTAATCGCAGAGTTGCGTCAACATAACATCAAGGTTATATGTGTTTTCGATGGCAAGCACAGGATACCCGCAAAGCTAAACGAGGTGGGTGCCGGTCATTACGATAAAGGTTGGTCGTAAGAACTGTTTTTAGCTCCAGCGTCGGAGACGAATGCGCCTTCAAGCCCAAGTTCGTGGCGCTTGGGAAAAGGCTCGCCACGAACGACTGCTTTCTCTTACTGAAGCTTTGCAGAGCTTGGAATCTTTGCCTGAAGAAGATCAAAATGAGGTTCTGGGTAGTCTGCGGGATCAAGTAGAGCGAGCTCAACCACCAGGATTGGAGGATGAACACGACACTATTCTAGTTCCAGATCCAGCTGCGGCGACCATTCAACCAGGTGATCTGGCTACACCCGCACAACCCGCATTGGGGCATCTCCCCGAGTCCGTTCTGCCTGTGGAAGAGCCTATGATACCCAAACTAGACTCTGCACCATCAGCGGCTATCAGTACTTCTAGCATTGCTTCTGGGGAAATCTCTGTGCCGCGACAATTACCTGATGCCGAGAGCTCCTATGTGGTCCCCCCGAACCCTGCTGTTGATGAAAGGTCTATTGTCCAGGATCTTCCTCCCTCGGACGATGACGCTAACGAGAATACCAAACAAGACGAACCTCTTCCTGAAGGTATACCCCCCAGCCATAGTACCCAAACTATCTCCCCCGATGAGACGCTACCCACCAAAGACGAGCCGATACCGAACCCTCTGGAATCTCACGCGACTCCTAAAGTCTCTGAAGAACCGACGACTCTCCGGGATGCTGCCTCTTCGCTTGATCAACCCTCCGATCCCACCCCACCCAAGGATTCTACGCCGGAGTCCGACCACGGAGGCGACCAAACTACCATGGGCAGGGATACGAGCCCCGTAAAGCAAAGTATTGATCCCGTCCCGCAGAGCGCCTCTTTGGAACAGGCAAAGTCTGAACTCGATCTCCCGGCTGGCGTCAACGACCACCAATACCTTCCCAAAGTGATCCGACACCTCCACGAGCACTACACTAGGACGAGCGCAACCGACACTGACGGGCTCATCCACGCGTTGTCCGAAGAGCCTGACGCAGTGAACCTACCAGACGTTCCGATTTCAAGAGTCCAGCTTAAATACACCCAAGAAGAGTCCAAGTTGTGGGAACAACTCGTGCCAACCTCGAGCGACGCCAAAGTCGACATTACCCGCGTCGTAGAACAAGTAAAGGAGCTCGCGTCGGTGGAACTACCCCAAGACGAACCCGAACCCGACCCGACCCGAGCCCACTGAGCAAGAGACCGAGCAAGCGGTCGAGCAGCAAGGAGACGAGACTGCGCCCATTAGCGAATGGGCAGCCACATTAGAAGAGCAGTCGGGCCTCATGGCCGCGTCACTTTTGCGCCGTGCGAGTCCGCCCACGACCTTGACCTACACCGAATCTCGGCTTATACTCGAAGCTATGGGAGTCCCGTGCCTCGAGAGTCCCATGCATTACGAGGCCGAGGCGCTCGCTTCGAGCATCGTAATCAACGGCCTCGCCGATCTTGTCGGAAGTGAAGACACTGTACGTCCCATCGTTCTACCGCACACTCGGTCCCGAGACTCACACATGTCCTAGGACGTCCTCATGTACAACGCCCCCCTCTTGCGCCACATGACCAACAAAAAGGTGCCCCTGCAAATAATCCCGCCGTCGACAGAGACCGGTCTCGGCTTGTCTCGGTCCGCATTTGTGGACGCTGCGATTTTGATGGGCACGGACTTTGTTAGGCGACTTGAGAAGGTCGGACCCGCCACTGCTTATCGCCTCATGGGAAAGCATGGGTCTATTGAGCGCATGCTAGAGGAGGAACCCAAGTTCCGTCCGCCGGACGTAGCCGACTATCTTGAGCAGGTACGGTCATTCACATGCTATCGCTTCGGACAAGACGGACTAACGTTGTGCGCAAGGTCAAGGTTGCTCGTATCATTTTTAGCTCGTTGCCACCGGCTCCTTTACCGGAATCAGTCGTTCAAGGAGATTGGGACGAGCAAGCGGTACAAGAGACTATGGCTCACTTTGGGCTTCAAAGGTATATGGAGGAGGAATTAATACCCGATGCATTGTCGGACAACTATTTCATCGAGCAGTCGAAAGAGTCCAGCTGACCGCAGGCACTCGGTGGTTCTAGACGTTGTGCACCGTCAATTTTTCTGACCCTGCTTGTGGACCTCCTATACACTTGTGATATGCTTATTCTGCACGTACTTCTACGCTCTTCTTGCCACTGTACCTCTAAGCACCATGATCTCATGCTCCATGTTCTGGTCCCATGACCCAGTCCTGCACGTTTTTATGATGTCGATTTGTGAATTTGCATATGCAGCGTTGTACCCATTCCATTTAGATTCCATCATCGAACTTTGTTTAAATGGGGTGACACTTCCGAGCATTTGTCCAAGAAGCCCAAACCGAGTGCCAGCGCATATAGCGCTCACCCCGAGCCTACCTGCATATGTACGAACCTTGGGCGGAACATACGCATACAGCGCAACTTTGATATTATATCTAGTAATATAAACTAATCGACAGGACAAACTAAACCCGCGATGGCAAAGATATCATGCGCATAGATGCGAGAGACAACGCACATGATATGATGCCAACCCGTTTAGGTGACCGTACGAAACCCCATAGCGCTCACGCGACTCTCACCACGTCGATGTGAAGCCCTGTGCGAGATAATCGCTAGGCGAGAACCAAACCATATCAGCCTTTGCTCATCTAGCCTCTGTCCTTCACTCACCTCAGACCAAGATCCCGCGCGCGGTCGTGCACATCTCGATCGTCGTAGCCGTAATACGGGCTAGAGAGATCAAACCCGCCACCGGGCATTGGCGCATGGTCGTTCACGTTATTATTGTCAGGATCGGGATCGAGCGCGGGCATGTCCATCGGGCCCGACTCGTTTGACCCCATGCGGGTACCTGCGGCCGACTGGGTACATTCAGCCTCGCCCCCCAAGCCAAGAGTCGCGTCGGCCGTGTCCCCCGGCGCATGTCCAAGCCGCGTTGTTATGTTGCTTCTTTGCGCACTAGTGTCTGATGCCCGGGGTCGTTCTTGGGGTGACGAACGTTCCCTCGGATCCGGACGTTTGCGCCTCGGATCCTTTGTGGATGTACCGCTCGCGTTCTAGGTTAATGACCGAGGATTTAAGAACTCGTTCATTTGGTTCGAGTTGTGCTCACCTGATCGCGTGTGCTCGGTTCATTGGACGAGCGACGCCTCTTTTCCCTGTCTGCAGAGACAGGTTCAGGCGAATCTTCTCGCACCGCCCGTTTTTTGCCCCGGGAGTACCCGTATTCTCCCTAGACGAAATGCAAAAATGAAATCACTTTAGTTATAGACTTGAAAATTTCTGGGGAGGTCCTTGGAGTGAAATCAGGGGCTGGACTAAACGAGAGTCACAGATATTCAACACATCAGGCCGGGTGGCTCAAATGTGTGTGGATTGGAAACGCAACACAATAGTTGGCAGCCGCTAGGGGCGAAAATCGCGCAGAGGCAAGCGAACTTAATCGGACGTGTCCCAGAACACCAGCACAACACAAGTGTGCCGTGAATCGGAAGAGGGATGGGGGATACAATGTTTTTGTGTCTGCTGACCAGGCGGGTGTACAAACTAGGCAAGTAGAGAGAGGGACAAACCTTGCCGTCACCGGTATGTTGGCGCCTCGCAGCGTAATCGTTGATGATTGGGTCAAAATAGTCTTGCCTTTTGCGGTACCGATTCCGCCAGGACTGCCAAGTGTGGCCTGCAGCCCATGGGTAAATGTCTGTCTTTTGGGT